ATGCTATCCTACCGATCCCTACATCACTACCTATGGCAACTAGACTACCGAACGGAACCCTATGGTCAGTCTAGTTCAAACCAAGGAAGGACGTACTCTTAAGGTATGCAAAGGGAAAAAGGAGATGCCGAACGGTACCTTGGTTTAGCTTCTGGAAAATGAGCGCAAACTGTGCTTCAGATCATCTGGACAAAAATCGCCCTTCCTACCGTTAGTGGCGCCGGAAATCGCCTGATTGCCGTTCGCAAACGTCGAAAATCGCCTTGAATACCGGAAGCTATCGTCGAAAATCGGCCTGAATACCGGAAGCTATCGTCGGAAATCGCCTCAGCGGAGCTCTCGTTTTTCACTAAGTGCAAAGTGAGTCTCCTCCCAGGGTCACTCCTATTTATAGGGCGAGAGTCCGCAACGGTACACCTCGAGAAGCCAAACGGCACATTAATGCCCAGCACGCCATCATTACTTCCGCCACGTGTCGCTCATCCTATGCGGAACTGACGGCACTCGAGGCGCGAAAGTCGAAGCGCTCAGACGCCTCTTCACCTGTCTCCTCAACGCGACCTTCTGACTACCCAAACGTCAGCTTCTGAACAGGCGAGAACGAAAGGCTCAGAGTTGAGCCCTTCCATTAAATGGGCCTACCGAACGGTAAGGCAACGTTTTCTTCGGAGGGCAACTTCAAATCCCCTTCCGAGAATTCTCGCAAGAGGACTTGGGGGACTCCTGTTTATACCAAAATGAACAGCCAATAAACATTTGACACGTGGACCAAGCTGGAGCTATGGGAGCCTTCGGCATCTAGCTTCGGCATCTTACCTACCGATCGCTCTATTAGGGCAACCTTGACGTCCGGAACACGTGGCAGCCTCACAATCAATGTCCACAGTCCCACATCGAAACTCTAAGCAAAATGCACACCTCCCAAGGCCTATAAAAGAGGACAACCATCTCAGCTTGGAGGTAATCAATCAGAACTAACGGCATACTGCTTATTGATCTGTAGTTCAAACTTACTAAATCCGTACTTACTTAAGCATCGGAGAGCCTTCGGCCGGTATCACACCGGTACCTAGGACTTACCGAGCGTTTGCTATCTTACAGGTATAACTACTACTGAAGTCATAGCATACCGAAGGTAACAAAATCACTAAGTTACGCGGGAAAAGTACAGAACCATTTTTCTGCATCAACGAATTTATTAACACAATAACAGCTACCAGCAAGACTACAAACCTGAATATTATCACTCTAGAAGTAAATGTCTTTGAACACAATGCAAGCAGAACTGCTTCCTTATTTACTTCACGCATTCGTCGTATCCTAACCACCCTACATGTCAGTCATAATGACAACAGACAATGAGGTGATCAATCATACAGAAAGTTCTTAACAAATACGTGCTCACGATTGAATTATAGAGTCAAATTCTGCAACATTTATAACTAAGTTTGTCAAAGCACAAACGAACGAATTACTCCTCAGTTAGTGCCACTGGCCGTCTAGCAGATGGGTCAGCTGAGAGACGTAGTGGTTTGGTAAGAGAAAGCTTAACAAGTTCATCAACTTCAGTAGTCATCGTAGCTGAAAATAGCATGGTCTGTCTCCTTTTGGGGCATAAACGAATCTGGCATGCAAACCATGAATGATTAAAAAGTGTGAAATAATTCCAAAAAGACAGATTAAAAAGCATATATTTTGGTTTTTCAGGAAATCAGCTATATCCCAATTGTTATCCTGCATGCACCAACGGAGGGCAGAGCATACCAGCTCGCGAATTTCAGCACTAAATCCAATCTCCAAAAGTCGATCTGCCTCGTCAAGAATTAGAACAGCGAGATCTTCCAAATCCACAGACATAGAATTATGTAAATGATCTATAATGCGTCCTGGAGTAGCCACAACAATATCTGGCTTTGACCTCAAGGCAGCCTCTTGCGCCTGATAAAAAAATGGCATCACCACCGCATTTTTGATGAAAACAGATGAGCAAAAAAGTAAACAGAAGTCGACTGGATAGCATTATGTAATGAGCCACATGACATATGCATTCCATCCACATGCATAACCTTTCAGTTAATATGTTTATTTTTCCCTTGTGAGCTGTGACATGATTTTAATGTTTACTCAAGGTCCTCATGTGTGTAGAAATATGTTACCTCATTGTGTTAGGTAGGGACAAAATAAGTATGAGTTGGACATTTAAGGTATCCTATTATTCCCTAGAAACAAACTTTTCCATTGTGTGAAAAAATACGGTTATCATCGTATTAAAAGAAGTAAGAATCCACATCGCCTCAAAACAGGAAAATCACAACAAGGGATAAGAAACGAAAGTAAATCAAACCTTTAATGGAAGCCCTCCAACAGCTTGGCAACATCTTATATCCGTAAACTGGGCAAGTTTCTCAATCATACTTAGAACCCTGAAATTAAAGATCCAAAACTAATTAGGCACGACAAGAATCACAAAAATATAATCGGAACAAGATATTAAAAGAACTGTTCCTCAATAAGAATACAATTATGCTCGATCAAATCATATAATCTGATGAAATAGGCTATCAAAATCATCAACAAAAAATAAAATTGGCCATGAAAATAAAATTAGATTGACTATCATAAACTCAAGAATCTACAAATCTGTCAACCAATTTCATCCATCCCTTATCATCAATCATTCTTACAATGTAGTTGTCAATAGTAAGAAATGGAGGAACTATCTTAAACTTACTGAAGCCCGAGTTCCCTGGTTGGGGTCAAAACAAGGACCCTTATAGCTGGCACCCGCTTGGGGCGAAACAATAGTCTCTCCAAAGTTGGTAATGCAAAGGCAGCCGTCTGTGAAAAAATGACAACAAACGCATTAGCTGATTGAGACAAAATAGAAAGATTAGCTATGCTGTGAACTAAGACAATTTTGATCCAACTACAACCAATAACGCAATCCCTAGTTACTTGGTACAAAAAGATCTTAACAAACTAATTTACCTTCCCGGAACCAGTAATGGCACTCCCACATATGTCACGCCCAGCCAGGGCTAATGGTATGCACGCTGCCTATACAATAAATTCAGTGAAACTCATATGACAGAAGAAAATATAACAAGAAAAGAATTATCTGTCAATGGTATAGGATTGCAAACCTGAATTGGAGTGGGCTTGGTATGGCCCAATTTCTCACAAGCGCGAAGCAAAGGGCGTGACAAATTCAACTCTATGAATGAATTTGCATGAAACGACATTCCCTCTGACGGAGCAAAAAATGGCTGATTATTGTCATCAGCAATATTAAGAGGAGAATCATCATCGCCTTCCTCTTCATCTTCAGGCTGCTTAGAATTTTCCAAAATAATCAACGAACAACAATATTCATTGTAATGAACAACCAACAATATTTAGTAATCTCTTCGGGCACTGGGCTGCTATAAGATGTATTGGGCTCTGTCTTGGGTTGCATAGAGCAACTGGGATCTCCTTTGCTTGGGCTACTTAAAGTGCATTTGATAATTATTTCATTCAGTCTTCAGATTTCATTCACTTTTTTTGAAATCTAAAAATGTTTCAAAATCAAGACATATTTTGAAATGTATCTAAAATTTATTTCAGTTTTCAGTTTCCATTTTTTTTGGTCTCCTTTTTCATTCACCAATTCTAAGTCACAAAACATGCATAGCACTCCATCAACAACTATTAGACTTACACACATGACACTAAGACCTGCATAGGTGCCCCCTTGACCCTGGCAATCCCCATGGATGTCGAACCCAGCTGGTCAACATTTTCTTTAATGTTTTGTCAAGATGGGTATACAGCAAATGAAACAAAAATAAGTGGAAACAAGAAGAAAAAATTTGTCCATGTTATAAAATTCTAAACCTGAATTGGAGTGGGCTTGGTATGGTCCCATGGACGTCGAACCCAGCTGATCAACTCATCGCAAGCCCGAAGCAATGGCTTATTATTATTCCCATTAGAAGGAGCATTATAATCATTATCACCTTCCTCCTGGTCATCTTCCTCATCGGATTCTGGCTGTTTATAATCTTCCTAAACAAATCCACAACAACCAATGATATTTACTATTCTTTAAGAATTTTTAGTTTGATTGAATTAATGAAAATAAAATAATATTCAGTAACCAAATAAACAGAAATGAATAGTGAGGGCTAAGTAGTTACTTGTTTGTCGGATTCGCATTCCGAGCTAATACCCTCATCATCTTCGTCAACAGCACTATGGTGTAAGGTTAGTTGTTGCAGTAGGGCTTTGGTGATCTTGAAATCAACGGAGGTGGTGCTTCCACGAGCGTGTTCTTGGGAGACTATTTCAAAGTAAGATGCAAAGTCCCATGAGGATTGAAAATTTCCATCACCGAGACCTTGTTCTTTATCCGAATATTCTTCATCGCTTGGGGGTTCAAATACGAAACTCGGAGTCATTGGAATAAAGATCAGCCTCAGCTTATATATGAACTAATTGTTAGCTTTGTGATCAGCAGTATATTTCAATAAAAACATAAAACAAAAGCTCAAACCAAGAAAACGTCCAAAAATGACCAAACACAAGAAGAATTACAATTTTTGTTTCATCACCCAATTCCCAACAACCAGACAGAAAAATGTAGACAAAAAATATAAATTTTCTTTCCATAGCTTTTCTCAGCTACCAAATATATTAATTAAACCCTAAAAAAACCCCAAATTGCATGATAATTCAATTCAAATTAAACCCTATATAAACCCCAAACCCCAAATTCCAGATTTATTTTAAGGGAGTTTTACTAAAACACCCAAAATGGGGGTTGAAATTATAAAAAAACCCAAGCACTATTTAAACATATAAACACACCCAAAACCCATCATTACACACACTCAAAATTCATTTATAAACACACCCAAAAAGTTGACTTTGGGGTTGATTTTGGGTGTGTTTCTATGTTTAAATAGTGTTTGGATTTTTTTATAAATACATGTCTAGGATTGGGTTTATTTATAAATTTGTATTATTTTAATTCAAATGAAACCAAAATAAACCCCAAATTGCAGATTAATTTCTGTATGTACTTCTATAAAGCCAGCCAGCAACAACAGCTCCAAGCCTCCAATCCAAGCTCAGCAAACAATCCCTGCCAAAAATCAATTAAACATCATTAGAAAAGCTTAATTACACCCCCAATTGAAAACTGAATTGGTTAATTAAACCCCAGAACCGAAACCCAATTGGAATCCCTAATTTCAAAGCCTTTAACCGAAACCCTATACCTCAAAATTGACGTGCATAATAATTGTATTCCGAATTCAAATGCATCATTTAACCCTAAATCGAAACCCTAGAATTCCCAATTCGAAGCCCTCATTGAAACCCTCAATTTCAGAAATTAGGGTTGGATAAAAAAATTTACCTGATGAGGAGGAGGAGATGGCGATTCAGAGGCCACTGATATGCTTCAAATCGATGAGAGATGTAAGGCTGAGATGATGAGATGAGATACAGAGAGAGAGATAGAGACTGAGACCAGAGACTAGGGTTGAGTCTCAGATGGTCGACGGCGAGAGGGTAATCGAGGCTGAGAGAGGGGAGGCGAGGCGGCGGTGTGCCGGCCCTGGCCCAGCGCGAGCAGGGCACAAGCCCAGGGCCCAAAATTTTTAAAGTAACCCACATGTCTTAGTTTTAAAAAATTTAATATTTTACTTAATACGTCATTTTACTGCACATTTATTTTACTGCACATTTATTTTAATACATAGTTTTCAAATTTTGTTTTGGATTTGGCAGAAAGGGAGGCCTAAATTCATTGGGTTTGTCTAAATTAGAAAAGTAAAATACAATTTTACCATTTTTTGTTGAAAAGCCTTGCAAAAATTAGATTTCATCCTCCCCTCTCTCTCCTTCAACTGGAAAACAGCGCAGCCACATTCCCAATTTCACGACGACTTTCTGTTGGCATAACGACCTTATTTCGTCATTGTTCCTGCACGAAAGTTGCTCGTCATCACCTCCTCTTTCATTTTCCCAAAATACCTGACTCAAACAGCCGGCGTTCATGGCCAATTTTGGCTGGAACAGTCCAATAATCGCACCTTTCCATAAACCCAATTTTACAGCGACTTTCCATCACTGTAACGACCTTATCTCGCCATCACCTTCTCTATCATCTCCCCAAAATACCTGACCCAAACAATAGGAGTTCAGGGCCAATTTTGGCTGGAACAGTCCAACAGTCCAGTAGTTTCTGTTTGTGGATTGCGGTTTCTGTTTTTACATTGCAGTTTCTGTTTTGATTGGTGGTTGATGTGCAAAGTTTGGGGTTTCATTTGGACTGGGAAGGGAGTTTGCATTGTGTAAGCTCACACTGTAGCATTTGCACTTTTTTGAATAGTGTTTTCTTGTTTGTGAAGAGAGAGTGGGTGTGTGCATGTGTGTGTTGATGGATAACTGGGGATTGGATGCTAAGGAGCTGAGGTTGTGATGCTACTTAGGCAGAACTACTAGGTTTTGCCGTAATCAGAAGGAGGGGAGTTCTTTGACATTTGCTTTAGTGGTGAGGTATTTTTAGTTGATCTCTCAAGTATTGGTTTCATTATTATCTATTTATTTCGTATGTCTTCTCATTTTTTCCTTTTGTTATTGAACCACGCATTTTGATTGGCAAAAGAAAACAACATTGATTTCATTACCATTATCCCAACTCTTTAGTTTGGGTGAACAAGAACATGCAATTTTAACATGAAGCAGCATTCTTATACTCAATCAAGTTCTCGGAGATGAAGGCGATCTTCAATGACACAAAATCTTCTTCTTTTTTCGAAAATTGAAATGCAGAAAACGGAAACTGAAATGCAAAAAACGAAAATTACAATGCAGAAAACGGAAACTAAATTGCAAAAAATGGAAATTGCATTGCAGAAAACGGAAGCTGCATTGTAGAAAATGGAACCTGCAATGCAGAAAATGTAGGCTTTACTGTATTCAAAATAATCTTGAACCAATTTAGCACTTAAACCACACCTTAACACAAATTTGACAATTAAACAATAGAACAAGTAGAGATAAGACTTACTTGAATTAGTCATAATCAGATATACAAGATGATCTTCTCCTCTCAGTATTCCAAAATGTCAAGGCTTTCAATAGGACAAGCATACAGAATATGAGCGTGTAAATATGAGAGCAGAGACCAAGCCTTTTATCCAAGTTGCTTTACAATTGACTCTCCTATTAAGAGACAACTGCTAGCCAAAACATGGAGATAATGGATGATATCCACCTCCTGTAATAGTTATTCCATTTAATCATTATCTGAATAAAAGTCTCATAATATCTTAATTTAAATATAACTCTATTTATTATTTATATGATACCTCATAATAAGAAAAGGCAAACTCACAAAATATATGGAAAAACTTACATTCTCCCACATGAGTGTAGCCAATTCATCAAACAAAAAGTATCATATTGAATAATCAACAGTGATCACTGAGTTATATGAAATTATAGATAACTTTTGACAACTAACCATACTGATATAAAGAGCTGAACTTTAGAAAACTTGACACACTTAAATTGCACCAGCACTCTAAAATCACAAACTGATCATATCATAATGTAAATGTTGCAGACATGGAATAAGAAGTGTGAGTCTCGGTACCATGGGACTCCCAAATTTCGTTGGTCTTATGATGTCATGAACATCATTCAATTTCAACATAACGTTGCAAAGACTTCATAAACACAGCACTAGAACCAGAAAAAATATTAAAATATTCAAAGGTGAAGAATTCCCTGACTCCCCCATTCAAAACAGATCAATCGAAGCTTGCAGACCCATTTTTGGCTCTAGTCTTTGAAATCCAGTCACACACAAAGCTTTTGTTAAAGGATCTGCTATCATATGCAAAGTGCCAAGATGCTCAATATCAATGACTCCATCTCTTACCTTGTCCTAAAGTGTCAAGTACTTGATATCCAGCAGCCTTGAAGCATCAGGTCTTTTATTGTTTTTGGCAAAGAACACAGTTGAACTATTATCACAATATAGCTTCAATGGCCTCTCTATACTCTTGACAATTTTCATAATGTGAATCAAATTCTTTAACCAAACACATTGCCTTGCAGCTTCAAAACATCCAATATATTCAGATTCCATTGTAGACACTGATCTGGTAGTTTGCTTCTTACTTCTCCATGAAACTGCACCACCAGCTAAGATAAACATATAGCCACTTGTTGACATTCTGTCATCAACATAGCCTCCCAAATCAGCATCTGAATAGCAAACTAAATCAAGTGAATCCACATAATGATAACATAGCACATATGATTTAGTCTTTTGCAAATATCTGAGAACCTTTTTGCTTGCATTCCAATGAGCAATACCAGGATTTGATTGAAACCTTCCTAGTACACTTATATGTTTGCCATTAGTGGCCATTAATTCTACCTTGTAATATATCTAGTAACAAGCATTGGCAAATCCATAAATTTTTTAGCAGAGTTGTAATTTTGAAAATTTAAAAACTCTTTGTGGATTGAACATCTAAGACTTTTTAACTAAATTGACCTTAGGTCCCTTTATTCATTCATATCAATCTCATACATGAAAAATAATTTTAGGAATAATCATTTTCTCAAGATAATTTTTGGCGGCTTTTATTCCTTACATATCAAATAAGAAAACTTAATTTTATGATATTTTATTATAAAGTATATATTGACTTAATGGATCATTTTTAGCATAAATCGTATTTTGCACTAAAATCGATTTTTCATATTTTGATTTGGGGGGAATATGATTTTCTAGTATTTTTATTTGAATCCAAATGGAGAGTACATCCTTATTTATATTGTAAACTTAAGTAAATGGAGTAATATAAAAATAAATAAAAGTAAATGGACAAAATCTGTACACATATTTTGCACCACCACTAACTGAGCAAATGGACAATTTGTGCCTTAATAGGTTTGCGACACAAGCCAAAGAGTTGATTGAGAACTTTCCATGGCTTCTCTATAAGAAACAGGATCATCAAGATCTCCAATGTTAAATTCAACTTCCTGTAAATACACCATATAATCACCAGGAATTGTAGATCTCCTCGGTCTTTGAGATCTTCGAAGTGCAGGCTCAGGATTAGCAGGTTCTGCCTGTACTTCTGGTTCTAGAATAGGCAATAAATCTATCTGCTTCCTCAATCGGTTCTTCAAATACTTGTGGCTATGGAACATTATTTGTAACTGTGTCAGATGTTGAACATGGAATTGGCACTGGAATTGATATTGAGTTTCCCGAGGATGCAACTGAAGTTTTATCAATTTCTTCAAAAATATAAGAATTTTTGGACTGTGAGGAAGATGTGCTGAAATCCTCAATAAACTTAGCATTATTAGTCTTAGCAATTCTTGTATGCAAAGTAAGACAATAAAACTTAAATCCTTTAGACTTCTCAGAATAACCAACGAAGTAACAACTAGTGGTTCTCATATCAAGCTTCTTTTCTGTTGGATGGTAAAGCCTAGCTTCAGATCTGCAGCCCCATGTATGAAAATGATTGAAGCTTGGTTTTCTACTTGTCCATATCTCAAATGGCGTGGAGGAATTGACTTACTTGGTACTCTATTCAAAATATAATTAGCTGTCTTTATGGCTTCGCCCCACAGAAATTCTGGTAACTGGGAATGAGACAACATGCTTCTAACCATATCCTTCAGTGTCCTATTTCTCCTCTCTGCCACTCCATTTTGATGTGGAGTTCCAGGTGTTGTATATTGTGCTACAATGCCTTGCTCTTGAAGAAAAATAGCAAAAGGACCCTTTTGTTGTCCAGCCTCTGTATGCCTGCCAAAATATTCCCCACCACGATCTGATCTTACAGCTTTAATGGTTTGGTTCAGCTGATTTTCAACTTCTAATTTGAAAACTTTGAAACAGTTTAAAACTTGTGATTTTTCAGAAATCAAATACAAATATGAATATCTAGAAAAATCATCTATAAAGAGAACAAAATAGAAATTTCCACATATTGTCCTTGTTGGAAATGGACCACAAACATCTGTATGTATTATCTCTAACAAGTTACTGCTTCTAGTTGAGTTTATTTTCCTTGTGCTTGTGGTTTTGCCTTTAAAACAATCAATACAATTCTCAAAATCATTGAAATCCAAATCAGGCAATATCTTCCTTTTCATGAATCGTTCCATTCTATCCTTTGATATATGCCCTAATCTCCTATGCCAAAGCACAGAAGATCTGTCATTATTGAGCATTCTCTTAGAAACAGAATCAACAATATGGAACATTCATGAAAATAAGTACACTGAAGCTGCCACAAGTCACCATTAAGAAAAGCATGACCAAGTAATTTATCAAACTGATTTTTGTGAAAAATACGAATACTTTCGTCATCACCAATATAAGAAAAACCATCCTTAACAAGCTTTGAAACTGAAATTCCTTCTCATTGAAGGTACATAAAGAACATTGTTCAATACTAAAAGAAAACCATATGACAACTCTAACTTAACACTACCAACAGACTCTACTTCTACTTTTGTTCCATTTCCAACAAAGACTTTGTAGATCTCTCTATTTTGGTCCTTCTGGCTTTTGAATCCCTGCAACAAATTAGTGATATGAACAATGCAACCATTGTCAAACCACCATG